CTCTACATGACTCTGGTGCGCCCGCAATTGGAGTATTGTGTTCAGTTTTGGGCCCCTCATTACAGAAAGGATATAGCCAGGTTGGAGTCAGTGCAGCATAGGGCCACAAGGTTGGTAGCCGGTTTGCAGGGGATGCTGTATGAGGCGAGACTGAGGGAACTGGGTCTCTTCAGCCTGGAGAAGAGGAGACTCAGAGGGGATATGTTGGCGACATACTGGTATGTGAGGGGATGTCACATGGAGATGGGTAGAGACCTGTTCTCCCCTGCAGAGGAAGGCAGAACGTGCTCCAACGGAGCAAAGCTCAGGGAGCCAAGGTTTCATTTGGATGCCAGGAAGCACTTCCTGACAGTTAGGACCCCGAGGGTGTGGAATGGGCTTCAACAGGAGGTGGTTGAGGCCCCATTGGTGCGGGTGTTCAAGGATCGGATGGACGTCCACATGGTGGGCATGTCATGAGCAGAGCCGGTTGGTGCCAGAGGTCAGACTAGATGGCCCGGGAGACCCCTTCTGACTTGCTCTGTTTCTGTGTTTCTATAACTTTAGAGAACTTAAAGAGAACTTTAGAGAACACTTTCAGAGTAAGATTTCTAAAAGTCTGTAAAACAGATTATATATTTAAAGCTTATTCAAGCTCACTTCCATAGATTTAGAAAATGTAACAAAAGAAAATCAAATCTGCAGTTGCAGTCAAAGAAATGAAATATTTGGTTTTCCTTGAAAAGGAGTAAGAACATAGGAGAATTTAAGAGCCATCCCAGCTCAGACCAGAGGCTGTGTAGTCAAGCTGTCTGTTCCTGTAGAGGTCAGTCAGATGTTCATGTAAAGCCCTTGAGCAAAACATGAGTGCAGTGGCACCTTCCTGCTCACCTTTTCCAGCAGACAGCACTGAGAAGCATACTTGCTCTGCTACTGGATGGAAGATCTAGTCATCATGGATTTAAGAGAGGATCAGACAAATTTGTGCAGAGTTAGACAAATTGATGGGGTATAAGGTTTTCAGTGTCTATCGATAGCCCTATTCTCCATGAATTTATCTAATTCCCTATACAAGCCATCCAAGATGGTGGCCATCACAACATTTTTTGGTAACACATTTCATAGTGTAACTGGGCTGTGTGAAGATGCAGCTTTTGTCTTTCCTGAATCTGCGTCTCAGGCAGAAATGACAGTGAAATTACCGGCATGTTGGTGATATCCAGCTCTGACTTTCAGCTGATGCCAGGGAGGCTGTAGAAATCTTGAACTGTTGCCTGGGTGCAGTGACAGACTGAATGTATGTAGATAAACTGTGGTTCAACTTAGATAAGATGGAGTTGCATTTTAAAAGGTCATCCAAGAATTACAAGTACAACCAGCTTTGGATGGGGTTGTACTCCCCTTGAAGGATTAGATGGACAACTAAATTAGGCTATCTTTGTATTTTATTGGTTTTAATTCACTGCCCAAAGAGTCCTATTTAGGACTATTGATACAGTTTATAAATTCTAAAATTAACTAATCTTTAGGATGTTCTTGGATCCAGCAGTGCCTTTGTCCAGCTGGGGATGATGCATCAGCTATATTTCTAGATGGCCTTCAAGGGCAGTCCCATGTGTAACACATTACAGTGGCCCAAATGGGAGGTTACCAGAACAGAGATAGAGCCAAATTATTTATCTCAAAATAGTCATAGTCAGCTGAGTCTCTAATGACAGGGATGGATCCAAAAGCAACCCCAAGCTATGAATCTGGTATTCATGGGGAGTGTAAGCTCTTCTGAAATAGGTTGAATCCTACTCATCCAGACCAAGGAACTGTATGCCAACAGTGCCTCTATCTTATCTGGGTTCACTCTCAGTTTGCCAGCCCTCGTGCAGTGTGCTATTAATGCTGCTCTTTGATTTTAGAGGGATTCTTTATTATATTGTATGTATATTATCAGGTTTATCTTAGATTTTAAATGAAATGTTAAGTACTCACTGAGTGAAGCAGTAATTCAAAAACATTTTGGGAAAAATTCACAGTTGTCGAAAGTATAATTCTCATAGTCGAAAAACAGTTGGCCTCGATAGTTGTCATTGCCATGCTTCCCCAATGAATGAGAGTTGCAAACTGAACATACTTCTGTAAGATTGCAGGGTTATTTGACTGTCCAGAATTACTGCTTAAAGTGGCGGCAGCACCTTTATGGGCCCATAACAGGGCAAGGACTATAGATGGGAGTAGAGCTCATGGTTCCAAGTTCATTCCTTAATATCTCCAGGTAAGGTGAGGAAAGATCCTTGGCTGAAACCTGGAGAGCCTCTGCTTGAAGGGCTGCACATGGCCTGCACTCTCTGTGGTAGACATTCTACACTTGAACTTCCAAAGTTTTTCTGACAAAGAATATCAGCAAAGGTTTCCAAGTGAATTAGAAGACACATGGGATAAGAATACCTTACCATCTTATGGGTGAGAAAGTGGTTAAAGAACAAGAAGTTGGTGCAAGAATAGACAACTGAGGAAGCAAGTGCTAGAATCATGCTGCCTGTCCACTGTCCTAGGACCTGTACTGGGACGAGTGCTTAGTCATAACTTATTTAACTTATTCATAAACTATGTGGAGCTGTCAGTGAACAGTGATGTGGCTAAATTGGTAGGTTATGCAGGATGATGGTAAGTCACTGAAACTCTGAAATAAGCTCTCCAAACTAGATCCATGGGGCTCAAAACGGCAAATAAGTTACAGCTATATGGTGTGGTTGCATTTGGAGTATGGTGCACAGAAAACGGGTATGATCATAAAGGTGGAGAAAGGGATGGATAGGCTGCAGCACTCTCCCTACAATGAAAAGTTTGTTTGTTTGTTTGGAATTCTTGTATGCTGCCCCATTCGCATAAGCCTCGGGGCAGCTTCCAACACATAAATAAATAACAAGCATCAAGTTAAGCTGATGTTTTTTTTCCCCAATCTTGGAAAGGGGCAACTTAAAGCAGAGGTGAGCAATTTCAAAAAACTGTTTAAATGCAGTCAATTCAAGCCTCTGGTCAGGGTGATCTGGCCCTTCTTTGGTAGCCTGCTGGGTGGGAAGAAAGAGACAGCAAGAGAGACAAAAGGGGGTGACAGACAAAAGAGGTGACCCACTCACTACTTGTGCTGGTCCTGTCCACTTCAGGCCTACCCGCTACCAACATGTGGCCCCAGCAGGAAACCAATTAAATGTGGCCCTCAACAGAATAAGGGTTACCCTCTTATTTAAAGGAATGTGAGAAACAAATGAGGATTATGGAATGGATGATACACAGAAAGCAAGTAAAAATATTTTTTCTCCCCCATCCGTAATTCTAAAACTTTAGGTCACCCAATGAAATGGATTTGATTACATTCAGCAGAACAGTCACAGCTTGAAGAATGGATTTCCTCCCGTTCTGGCAGGGGGAGGGGGCACTCACACACAGATTTGAAGTGGGAATGAGACAAGATGATTCTTCACTGCACAAACAGATGTCCACTTGCATGGTGTTCGGTACTGCCCTTTCATAGTAAATTGAAGCACGCAAAAAAGAAAGGATTGTTTGGCTTAAAACACAGCTAACTTACACAATGTTCTGCCTCTGGTTTAGATGGCTTTTTAAGAAAATTAGACCAATTCATGGAGGATTGGGTTATCCATGGCTATTAGACATGGCAACCGTATTGGATTATCAAAGCCATTGTATCTTCAGATACTAGCTGCTCTGAGGCAGCCAGCAAGGCAGAGCTATTGCTTTCATGGTCTGCTTCCCAGAAGCATCTGCTTGTCATTGCTGTAAATAGGATGCTGATTAGATGGACCCTTAGTTTAATCCAGCAGGCCCCTCTTGCAGTTGCATAGTAAAATGGATTTGTGTCTGTCATTCAGCAGTCTCCAGGGGCCATTCCTACAGTCCTGTGGCACCACTGAAGTGCCACAAGACTGCAGGCAGGCAAAGGTCCACGTCTTCAGGAAGTCCTAGAGAGAAGATCCAGACTACTACTTCATTGGTCACTTGGACACTGATACCTGCAAGGGTTCTGGAAGAGATTTTTTTAAGCAGTCTGTCTGTGGCCATTTATAAAGGACCCTGTGATTATGAAGAGCTAGCATAGATTTCTCAATAGTTACGCCGGACTCACCTGTTGAATCAGTAATCTGGGTGCTGTAAAGTTTTGTCCTGGGATTGTGCTTTTCAATGTCTTTATGAGTTACCTGGACAAAGGAGGTAAGGGGTGCATACCAGACTTAAAATAAACTGGTGAGTGTAGCTGATAACGTATAAAGAGAAAAACAGGATTGAAGATCTTGACAGAATGAAAAAGTGAGCCAAAAACTATCATAATTAACTTCAATAGAGATCAGTGACAGATTTTGCTTTCAGGTAAACAGAACAAAACAACAAAAATCAAATTCAGGTTGGATTGGCAGCACAGCTTGTGAAAAGACTCTGGGGACTTTAGAAGGCCATGAGCTACACATGAGCTATCAGTGTAATGTTGTGACTGAAAAGATTAATGCAGTTCTCAACTACATCAAGAGATGTATAGTGTCTGGATCACAAGAAGTAATAGTACTACTCTGTTCTGCTTTGGTCAAACTTTACCTGGTTTATTATGCTTAGCGCTGGGCAACAGAGTGTAGGAAGGATATTGACAAACTGCAACATGACCAGAAGGCAAAAGAGAAGTTGGTGAGGAGCTGGAAACTAGTTCCTATAAGAAACGGTTGAAGCAGCTATTTTAAGGGCTATCACATGAATAATTGAGCAAATCTGATTTTTGCTCCTAAGGGTAGGATTCAAATTATAAGAAAGTATATTTTGACTATTGGGAGGAACATCCTGACAATTTGACCACTTGCTTGTGGGACAGACCGCCTTGAAAGGGGCTGGACCTTTCTTCATTTTTAAGCAGAGGCTGGATGGCTGTTAGGGACACTGTAACGGTGGATTTTTTGTATTGGCAGGGTTGGCCTTGCATACACAGGAAGCTGCCTCATATTGAATGAGTCCATAGGTCCATTTTACCCAGTATTGTTGACACAGACTGGCAGTGGCTCTCCAGGATTTCAGGCAGGACCACATCTGCCTGTAGGTACCAGAGATTTGCATGCAAACCTGGGGCTCTACCACTAAGCTCAGTCCCCTCTAACCTTCCAGCTTGAATTTTATGATGAAATATGACTCTCCAGCAGTGTTGAGTTAATGTGAAGGAACACACTTCAAAATTTCTGGCCAAGTTAAATAGCTCAACTTAAGCAGTAGCTGATACGGGAGACCAGTTTAAATGTGGGAAACGCAAAACCTTCAGCAGTTACTAAAATTGTTTTTGTAGAGCTAAAAGAGAACAGGAGCTGCAAGATTTAAAGAAAAAGAAAGAAGAGGAGAGCCTCCGCCAGCAAGTGCAGCTTCAGAGAAAGAGAGCTATGAGGCTCTTTCATGAGCGACAGCTTACACTACTGGAAATAGTCCATCCAGGTACGGTTGTTACAGTACCATGAACTGTTCTACACGAAAGCAGGTTTCCCATTCTGTTTGTCACCTGAAAAATGCTGTCCTTCCTGTGTTTTCGAAGACTTAACCTATGGTGTGCTACAGACTTCTCCTTCAATGGCCCATTGGTCTACAAGGAGAAAGCCTTGGAAATGAAAGTAGCTAAATTTTACCAGAATTGGGTCACTAATAAGGGAAAATTAAGTCCTGAATATTAATTGCCTCCAGTTTCCAAGATACAGCTCCAGGTCAAAATTGCATCAAAATAATTCATTGTGGGGGATGTGTGATTATGCTCCTTTATTTTTCTGCAAAATGTGATACAGCAATGAGAGTGGTACCACACCAATCATTATAATTTTTATTGATACCAATAACATAACTTTCCATTCATTTATTGGTTTTTTATGTAACATTTTCATGCTTTTTGCATGAAAAATTGACAAGCTCTAACATCAGATTAAACAACAAGGTTCCATCTTTATTCGGTATCTAAACTGCACTTTTTTGACTTTTCTCTTGTGAACTGCAGTAGGATCATCACTGGAGAGATTCCAGCAGTAATCGGCAAGCATGGACGGATTCCATTTCTCTTGGTATCTTTTCTCCATGCCTGCGATATCCTGGTGGAATCTCTCCCCATGCTCATCACTCACTGCAGTGGGGTACAGGATGCAGTGCAAATGGAATGTTTGGATATTCCATGGTCCACTCCTTTCTTGAGATCTCTTTTGCAACTGGGGGAACCATGCAAAAATTGCAACCGCTACTATGATTGGTGGGTTCCCTCCACACCATTGGGACTGTGAAACACATGGACTTTTTCTTCTTGTTTAGCTAATGACACAGATAAGTTGCACATGTAATGCAACAATAATGAGGGGCCTGACTTTTGTCCTGATCCCCTATTTTGCCTCCAAAGTATAGGTGCTATGCCTTTTTTTACCACCGCCGTCATACTGCACTTTTGAGATGCAAATGTAACCTTGCCACAAATGTAGCAGAAGTTATCTGTGTTATTTACACAGTTTTGAGGCATCTTGGCTTCTGAGGGAAAATATCACACAACTGTTCCTTGGAAATGTTAGGCAATGACACTTTCACAAGCTACCAGATATAACTGTATGATGCATAGATCTGACCAAGACAAATGTACCTTGCAATTAAAGAACAAATTACAGTTAGGTAATAATCTTTAGTCTCAAAGTGAAGATAAATTTATACACTTCCATGTGGTACCACCATTTTCATTGTTCTACCATAATTTGTTGAGAAGTTACAAGGCATCATGATCATCAGACACCTCCCTCCTTTGTAGGCAAATATACTAACCTGTACATAAATCTTTATTGTGAAATATCTTGAAAACTTTAGCCAATCAGCACCTTTATCTCCTGTTTTCTAATTCATCTAATCAAAATATGTAAGAATTAGCACATTTTATCTTGGAGGTCAATAATTTCCCAAACTATGTAGACCAGTGGAATTTATTAATGATGTATCAACTTGATTGCTTTTCTTTGATGGAGGAGGTACAGGCTCATTGTACCTAGAAAGAGATGACTGAAACAAAAAGGCGTAATTCACTGATTATGTATTAAATGTGGAATCATAGAGTATACTTGGACATTAAGGCATTCAGAACTCTTCCTGGGATACACTCTGGAGAAGGCCTTCACTTTGTATGCTTCCTCCCCACTCATTCCCTGTTCTCCTCACTTCTGAAGAGAAGGAATGAATTGCACTGGTGGGTCCACTATTAAACATGGGGGTGAATAGCTATACCTGTTCAGTTTCCATGTACATTTAATTGCATTTGTTTCATTAGGTGGTACCAAACTGTTGTGGACCAATGTCAGGAATGCCATCCTATGTCTAGATCTCAATTGTTGATTGAAAATAGTGTGTGATTTGCCTCAGTTCTCTTTTGACTTCCATCTAAGAATAAACCTAAAATGTTGTGCCTAGATCATTGCAGATTTTCTAATGCAAGGTATTTGTTCTTTATCCTATAGGTCAGGTAGAGAAACATATACATGAAATGAAGGAGAATGCAGCCCTAACTATCCAGAAATACTGGAGAGCATTTAGGGCAAGGAGAAATTTTCATCAGCAAAAAACCCATCTTAAGCAATATAAGGCAGCCATCCTTATCCAAAGAACAGTAAGTATTCAGAGCAATTGCTGGCACAAAGAAAGCTGTAGGAAATATTACAGCTTAAATTGAGACCAGAGCATTAACTTGCTCTCCATGAACAAAGTTCTGCAAAATTTTCTCAATAAGTTTTCTTTGTTCATCAGAAGGCATTTTAAAGAACTGTCCTGCTGAAAAATGCTGGCATAAGTTTTTGAATATCTATAACTCTGGACTACAATTGCAGTCAACTAAATGTGTTAGGTTTTAGGCTCTATTTCAAGGATGGGCAGCTTGTGGCCCTCCAGATGTTTTGCCCATGCCAGTTGATGAGAATAGGCCAAGACATCTAGCGTACCACTTCCCCTTGGCAATCTACATAGTACCCTGAAGCCTGCAAAACTATGAATAATACTTTTAAGGTTATTTTATGAGAAGTGTTCCCAAACACCAAAGACAATAAGCACTTAGGAAACAGTATCTCGAATGTCCACACTGTTGTTTTTCCAATCCTTCTACCAATTTATTAAATTATTCCTTAACTGTGAAGATCAAGAGAACTTGTCTACAGTGGCTTTTGCAGGAACATATTGTCCTGTTGAACTGAGCCTTGTTCTAATGGTATCTGCCTCAAGAGAGGATCAAGAGGATTAATTACACATTGGGTTTTCTTTCTCTGTTAAACCTCAGCAATGGTCAACGCAGTAGTAACTCAGGACAGGGTACTGAATTAGATGGGCCTTTTGATTTAAACTAGCAAGTCTGTTTTTATTTTATTTGTTATAGGGCTTTCCATTCAGTTTAAGCCCTCTCCACCCCCTCAAAAAAGGCTGAAGGGTACAGAATTAGAGTACAATCAGTGCACATGTTTCACAATCGATACTCAGTAACAGACCTGACCCAAACTATTATGCTCATTTCCTTGTTCAAACAGATCACTGAATTAACAGTCAGGCCGTTGCCATTGTTTTAGGGCATATACACAGAATGCAGTAGTAAATGTTGTATTCAAATGGAGACCAGAGCATTTATTTGTTCATTCATGAAAGAGGTTTTATGACATTGTCTTAATAGGTTTCCTTTGCTCACCAGAAGGCCTTTTAAGGAGCTGTCCTACTGCAAAATTTCTATAAACTGCTGTCACTTTGTGTATTTACACAGGTGCTCAAATTCTTGGAAAAGCAAAGGAAAAGGAAGGCCGAACAGCCTACATCCCTCTCTGATGAACAGAGGCTATCATTTCAGCAGAAAGTGAATGACTACATCAAACTGCATGCGGTACATCATAGCTCCTATTCACAGGACCCTTTTCCATGTCAGTTTGTTGAGGAACCCAGTAGACTGCAGCCCCATCAGCATGGCCAATGGTCAGAAATCTGGAGGGTTGTCTTCCAAAACACCTGGAGGATACCAAGTTGGAGAAGGCTTATTAGTCTGATTAAAAGAAGCTACTGCTAGCTGGGCTTTTGGGAGCTAGTTTCATTTTCTCCAGAAGCTGCTTTTGAGCCTGCAAAATGGTTTTGTCAGAAGGCCATGACATGAAAGTTATAACCGATGGGTACTGGAAGAAGTGGATGATTTGAAATATCCCTTTCAAGTCTTGAGAAGTTATAATGTATACACAGTTTTTATTAGTGTTCCACATTCATCACTCAATCTAGCATACCAAAAATGCATACATACCTATGGTTTATATAAACTCAGCAGGCTATGAATACATTGTTCATTCTTGATTTAGTCTGCAGAACATAACTTACTGGGGGCTACTTGGGGCTCCCCCCCATTATTAATGTAATATGAATTTGCTTCTTCCTGAATCCTAATTAGGAAACTAAATTTATTCAGTGATGGATCGATGGCTTCAGGGAGAAAACACAGGAAGAAGCACAGTTATTAGATTTACAAGTACCCAAGAAATGCAAATGTTGTGCTGTAGATATCCACAAAGGTTTGAAGTTGATAACAGCTAACAGTGACAGGCACCATCATTTTTCTCCAGGCTTCCAAGATGTCAGCAGAAATGAGCAGAGAACTTCATCATCAAGCCCAGGAAAAACTAGCCCAGTATTTGCTCAAAAGAAGCCAGAATCACAAAGCAGAGCAGCACAGAGAGGCTTTGTTAGCCCAGATTCATACAGATGTGGATCAGCTGATGTGTATGTGACCACGTCATTGTTTAACCTTGTTCAGATTTTCTTCCTGTGTTTTACTGTGATAGATGTTGATGGAGATGTCAAAGGTTATTCAGGCTAGTAGCTGCCATTTCTGCAAACCATGAACTTTCTTCTGAGATCAGTGATTGCATGAATTAGAAAAAATGTACCCTGCTGATATCACAACTATTGCAGTTGTGCCCCTCTTGCACTTTTAATCTTCTCCTTATAATCACCATTGGTCTGATCTGTGTAAATTCTAGTGTTGTGAGAGTTCTTGTATGGTGTTTTAGTAAAGATAAAAGAAGGCTTTAATATGCAGTGCAGGCCATTGTTTTAGTGTCACTCTCCCCAAAACCTCACTAGAAACAGCACAAAGAGTGTCTGTACTTAAGGCAAAATTAAGGCAGTCCCCTCCCCATCATGAGGATAAATTAAGTCTGTGACAGTCACCTCGTCTCCAATGATGCTCCAGAATGTTGTCTCGACCTCTCTAATGGTGGCCCCTACCCTGACTGCTCCTGTTTCATCTCTATTAAAATTGGAATGTTCCCATGTCAGAATGGTAGCCTATAATCCAGTAGTAGGCAACCTGTAGCTTCTCTGGCTGCCCCAACCACTTTTCTTTGTTGCTTCTTCTGGGACAGTGCACAACTGTTTCTTCACTATTAGCAATCTGGAAACTGCCACCAAGGTCAAGATTGCTTTAGGGGAGGAAGATAAAAGAGGGTTTAACCTTGTCATCCCCCCAGCAGTCCTGCTCAAGAATGCTGTAAGCTGGCAGCAGTGAGCAACTGGTGACCTTCAGTAGATCAGTGGTGAGGAGGAACAGCCTCTTTCCTTTTTGCAGTCCCATTTCATCACTGGACGTGTGTGTATGTCTTTGTGTGTGTGTGTGTGTGCATGTGCGCGCAGCCCCCAGCTTGGTGCCCATTGCCACATGCTGCCCTTGGAGGCAAAAATGTTGCTCACCCATACTGTTAGACTGCATGGGTGGTTATTCTGGAAACCCAGCTGGCCTGCCCTTTAAGAACATGCAGCTTTTGGATTGTTTGTTCATATCGTATTTAGCCTTCCCCAAATATTACAAAAGAAAAAAAAGTTGAATGTTCCATGTTCTGTGTAGATATTATATTTGCTTTTTTGTATTTTTCACATTATACCTGTATTTTTCACATTTTTCACAAACTGGCATTGTGCAAAATATTACAAAACAACAAAAACATTACAGGGCTAATCTTTTGAATTAGATTGGACAAGATAATAGACTTCCCCCATAGCTATAAAATTAAACTAACAGAAGGAAATAATGTTTTTGTTCAGATGTAACACTAATTTGTGTTGTGTGAGCAAGCCTTCGGCTTATTGGCTTCCAGCTCCACAGAGACTGACAGCTAAAACTTCTGTTTTTAACTAACTTCTGTTTTCATACATGAACCTAGACCAACTGTAGCTTATGAAGTTGGCTTGAGTCCTTAAACTATTGTTAAGATTGATTACCATTTTAATTTTGGATAGAGTTGCAATTTAATAGAAAATAGAAGCAAAAGCATCTGCTCTGCTCATGACCCCCCACCCCCAGCTCAAGATTCATGCATGGAATACTAAACCATAATTTAGCACAGAGGTGTTGAACTTGCTTTGGTCCAGAAACCAGCCCCCCCCCCCATTCATCAAGACAGATGTCAGCACCAAGTCACCTCCCTGCATTCATCCAGTTCCACCCTCCACTGATTCTGCTTTCCTTTTTGCAGAGAGGCATGAATTTCTGTGCCTCTCTTTGTGCACACGAAAACGCTTGGACAACCAATGCTCCATGCCAAATCCCTGCTGTTGCTTCCAAACAGTGATTGGCAATAACAGCAGGGACTCCTTCTCTTGGGGCACAGGGAACTTGGAGAAGAAGAGCCTTCCTGGACTGGAGGTTCACTATTCTTGATTTTTAAGATTAGGTTCAACCAGACCAGCAGGCCTCACATGGTTAATAGATGTATTTGTGTAAAAAACCAAACCAAAAAACAAAAACAGGGGTGGTTAAATTGTTTTTTCTTGTTTTTTACTATTTGCAGTAGCATGTTACATACAAATGAGCCAATATATATAGAAATGCCGAAGAATTAAGTAGCTTGTCCCAAGTCATTCAGTGAATTTCAGGGTAGACCACTGGCAGCCTACCTAATTGAAATTAAAATGAAGTTGTGATTTGGCTCTCTTTGTTTCCCTTTGAATTCCCGAACTATAAGTGGTGTGTACTGTCCCTATGTTTTTGAACCAGTCTCTTTAGCTGTAATGTCAATGCCTAGAAACACGGATTCACTGTTGCATAACTATTATACAGTACTACAAAAATGAGTCAAAACCACCAGATGATCAGCTTAGTCTTCTTAAGAAAAAGTAATTGCAGTTCCTTTTTTCCCCTTTTGCCTTAGGTGCTCCCAGTCTCTCAGAGTCCACCATAAAAGATCTGAATGTTTTTATGAGCAGATCAGTTCCTGTAGTATGCAAAGCCAAACAGAACCACAATGCCATGTTGAAATACACACAGTGGCCCTGGTGGAAGAAGCTTGAAGAAGACTTCTTAGATGAAGAGGCTGTCTCAGACGATCTCAGTGCTGAACAGGGAACTTTGTTCATTGGTGGAAGCAAAGTATAATTGGGAGACAGCAATTTCTGTTTCAATGTCTCTCTAATCCTGTAGTTAATTTTCTGTGAAAGAACATATCACAAGATGTTCAGGCAAGCAGTACCTCAACACTGTCCAAAGATGTTTTTTTTAGATGATTCATTATTAATAAAATGGGTTTGTACTTATATGGGAAAATGTGTAGCTGGTTTTTTCTTTGAAGGGGACTACATTCCTACTTTATGTTTATCTCTATAACCAGAAAGTCTAAATTAAAAAGTCAAATAACTTGAGAAATTAGCATATTATGAATCTGTGAGTGTAAAGCATGATATTCTTAAATATGTTATGAGGGTAGAAGAAGTTGAAAATGAATATGGAAGGAGATGAAGGTAGCTATAGATGTATGTATATGTAAAGGAATAGAATTGGGCAGTGATTGACAATCTGGTGATCTCCTAATTTCTGACCATTGCCTATGTTGGGAATTATAGTCCAAAAACCAGGTTGCCCACCCTTGATCTAAGTTACTGTATGAAAAAGCATCAATATGAAGTGTCAGTTCCATTTACTCAAAACATGGCCCTGAAGTTGCTCTAGTTTCAGTCATTTGAATAATGCTTCTCCTTCTTAAAAATGATTCTTTTTGTTTTAGTGAATCAGCATATGAAAAGATAGCAAAACTGAAGGAAGCAAGGTTAAGTAGTTCTGGTAAATTATAGACTGGGATGTTAGATCCTTGTAATGTTTACAGGATTCAGTTCACATGTCACAGTGGCATGGTGGTTGTTTGACCTAGAAATTGTGGAGAAGGGTTGATTGTGTAAGCTCTGTGCTCATCATTTCCACTATTAATTAGGTGTGAACACAGGAAGTTTGGATTCTTTGAGTTAAACAGAATTATTCCAACATTTGCCCATGGCTTGTTGTTTGTTGAGTTAACTGCAACGATCATTCCCCAGCAGTGCTAGGAAAAAAAGACTATTTGTCACAGGGGATGGAAAAAGTGTATCACTTTGAACCATTACTTGCTTAGAATGGGATTTACCACAGTCAACAAAGCCTGTATCTCTGGAAAACTGGAAAACAAAGCATTCAGGGAACTAACTTCTGGAGGAAGATTTGGGCAAACTGAATTCACATTCCCCAGTACATAATGGCTGGGGAATGGGGGGGAAAAACCCCCTCCAAGAATTACAGCAAAGAGATGCATTTCAGGAGGAAAGTATTGTGAGAAGCAATCAAGTGCTTTTGTCATAAGCCAATAATATAGTCTGGTCCCAAGGCCTGATGCGTATTTATTAACAACCACTTCTCATTTGAAACAAGTGGCTTACAAGATAATAAACACACACACAAAAGACTACCCATATACACTTTATAGTATGATGAGGCTGTTATAAAGAAAGGTTATGGGTGCAAGAAAGCCAAACTATTTTGATACTGCCTAAAACATGCCTGAGACCTGATGTACTTCAGAAAATGTTTCCCAAGGTAGGTTTTACTACCGAAAAAATTCATCTCTGCCTTGTTGCCAGAAAGAAATCTGGATCACAGAACCTCTTCTGAAGATGATAATGGCTTGGGGGGTTGGCATGGGAGGAGATAATCTTTGAGATAGCAAGGTTGTGAGTTGTATATGGCTTTGTATAACTTAAACCTAGCTTACTAGGAGACTGCCAGCCAGTGCAAGTCTTTTATTGCAGGCACTCCAGTCAGTAAGGTAGCTGCTATATTCTGCACTCACTGCCACTTCCAAATGGGCTTCTTCCATCTTAGTAGAATTATGGTGAAACATAACCAATTAAGTATCAGAAAACAAAAATGGTGAGTCAGGAACATGACTTATCATTCCAGTCTCTTATACCAGCACAAGTTTTATCATACATCTTTCTAAATCATATACATCAAGAAAGAGTATAGGTTTTATCTTCAAACCTTAGCTGAGTTACTACCCTAAAGTGACACTGAGTCAAACAGTATTTTAGGGTTTTCCCTATATAGTGGAATTCCTACCACTTCATATTCCAGGCACAGAGCAAGCAAGCTATGCTCATTAAAAAACAGTAGCTGTGTTGTCACATGCTGCTTGGGAATAGCTTTAAAGCACCTAGAGTTTGTCTGTTTCTAAGGCATGGGTAAACATTTTGAGAGCTGGTTGGACTAGGCCCTATGGCAGAGCTGCTCCTTTCTCTACTCTCTAGGCTCGCTCCATCTCCAAGAGCTTGACTAGTGTACTACACTATAGAAAGTGGGTTCCCTTGTTTATGAGTCTTTGCTGAAGCCCAGTGGTCTCTGCTCAACTCTTCATAATTTTCCTCATTATAGCAATTCTTTTATCACAGGGAGATGTTCACTAAGGTGTCCTGCATAATGCATTTTGTCCAAAGAAAGGAAAGTCCTGGCCTAGCTGGCGAATTAAAGAGCTGTCTCACCAAAAGCCCATTCATTGTCATGCTAATGGCCTCTGCCACTTATGCCACTGAACTAGATTATGAACTTCCCCTTTGTAATATGCAGGGTGCCTGGTAATGGAATTTCCATTTTTAACCCCTTTTTAGTGCCTGTTTAAAGGCGTCACTGGAGTTCAACATATAGCATTATCATCAGTGTAAACATGGTATTACTTTTTCTCCAAAGCTGTGTGGTCTCTACTGCCATGTAATCTTGGGACAGCCTGCTTATGGAAACCTCATCACTTAATGAATAAAAATACTTCCAAGCCAGGTCTATTTAACATTTGGTACAAGCATGTCAGCTTTTGATCCATACAAAGCTTTCTAATGCAGAATTCCAATCACATTTCCATAGCGCAATGTATGTATTTTTGTGTGCCACCCTGGCAAAGCTAATGCAAATATGGCTAAATGCTCTTTGTGCAAATGCATGCAATTGGAATAAAGGCTGAAAGCATTTTCTACATTTCAGAGGGATTTTACACTGAATCCTAATGGGAGCACTCCTTGTGAAGAATAGATGATTCTGCTGTAAACAAGCTATGTGCATATCCTTCTCTAAGCAATCCACAATTTATCTATTATTTGTCTGAAACAGCTCTGATTGCTTAGATCACAAAGCTACTGAAACCCCTCATGTTTACATTAAGAGCTGTGTCAGAAATGCCACCACCATCTGAGATGACACTGCTTAGGCTAGGAGTCTGTTTTTCTGTAAAACGAAAGTCTGCTATTTGGTCCTTGGTTTAAAGGATTGGCCCCTTGGTCAACTGAATGGGGCTGAAGTGGAACAACTGCTCCTTTGACAGTTTTCATTTTTACAGAAGAGCCCTTTTCAACTTTGCTGTTTGGGAAGCAGCATCAGCTGCTGGTGGGTTTCTTGCCTGAGCCCTGATCACCCGACTGCTCCCTGACCCTGCTTGTTAAACTTTAAAATATGTTTTGTCATCCTGCTCCTGTGTGATGCCCCAGGGCATCCTGAAGTGGTCTAAGTGGGTGTCCTCCAAATATACCCCCCTTTTATCTATTTTCCATCTACTGTCCTATGTTTATGTTTTCTTTCATAATTAAAATGACCTAACCTCTTTAATGCCCATCCCAGGATAGCTTAAAACAGGGAGAGGGTACTGGCCTACCAAAACAGTGCTTTGCAGGTTAACATGAACACTTCTATTTAAATTAATTTATTGTTAACAAGATAGCTGGACCACCTGCAGTGATGTCTTCAGTATGTATGCTGGGGGTTTTAGAAAGACCCCTTTCTGTCATAGAGAGCCAGTCACTCACTTTCAGCCTAACTCACCTGTCAGGATGAAATGGAGCTATATAAGCCACCTTGGGTTCCTCACAACAGGAGAAAAGGGCTGGATATAAATGGGATGTAACAACAAGATGCATTTTCAATACTTTTCAATAGTATCAGAACCCAGCAGGGAAGGAATTAACTAGGGGGAGATTCAGTGGATGGTGGAAGAGTTGACAATCCCCCATCCACATACTTCTTTTGCACCTTGAATTTCACTCCCATTCTACTTATCATTGAGATATGCTCCACATTTAGAGATCCAGGTCTACCACAGTCACAGGCCAACAGCAGTCTGAGGACCATCAGGTGAGCTATCAAGGCTTTATTCAGCAAAAAGTATGATTTCACAAAAGCCCCAATTAACCAAAATGTTATTCATATACTTATTGCATTGTTGTTTCTGCAGGACCAGTACCAAGAAACTGATTTATGTCCTACCTCATCCTTGTGAATGACCTAGGCAGTGCAGAGACACCGAACTTGTATAACATTAACCAAATGAGAGTGAGTGCTGAGCCTATCGAAGGCATGGAAAAGAATTTACCAACAGAAACCCAATCTCCTGTCTCTAGTGTATACATTCAACAGAACCAAATGGTAAAGCTTTTCTGAACTGTGTAACTTTAGGAGACTGAAGATGGCTTGTTGGAATGTTTTGTTCTGATAAAAAAAGAAAAACAATTAAAATTAGCATAAATGAAGCTAACGCATCACAGAGTAGACTGAATCATCCTCTTTGACAAACCAGTTTCCTACATTGAATTCTGACCCCCTCCCCAGATATGCAAACTCTTGTTTCAGCATGAGATTACTGTGATCCTACATCAAACTGCTTTTTGCCAGAAAAGATGGCCTCATATTTAATATAGAGGATGGATATCAAAGATAGATTGCTGTTTTTGCACAGCTGTAAAATATAGAGATATCTTATGACTTAAGAAACTATGGTATGCAACTGATTGATTGACTGGATTGGATTTGATTTCTCAATTTTTATGCTGCTCCTTGGCCAAAAAGTCTGCTCAACTGGCTTACAAATAATCAGAAGAAGAAGACAGGCCCTACCAAAAGGTTGACAGTCTAAAAAGGTATGACACACAAGGAAAACGGAATGATGAGGGAGGAGAAGGGAAGAGAATAAAAGGCTTTCTGTAGGCTGCTGGATTGGTCTTGGCTTCCCCTTGCATCTGTTTCCATATAGCCTGCTGGAATGGCTGCTGGTATTAGCAGCTAACACTAGCTACTAATAACCACTGGTTAGTAGGCCATGAGGAAAGCATATGTCAACCAAGGGAAGATTCACTGCATTACCTTAATTTTTAATGTTATTTTATGTTGTCTATCTCTCTGTAAGCCGCCCCGAGGGTGGCTTTCTGCGATGGGGGCGGCATAAAAATGCTATATATCTATCTATCTATCTACATAAAATCTACTTA